TTGCACAATTCACTTCAGTGAGATTTTTTTTTTTTATTTCCCCTGGTTTAATGGGCTGAATCAGTTTGGTAAACAATCGTCTGAGCGCCACAGTCACCATAACTGAGAAGCAGGATCGAAGAACCAGGAGAGGGGTAGGGAAGAGGAGGGGAGGAACGTAAAGAGTTGAGCCAACTCCATCAGTGACAGCAAGCTGTGAGATCATCTTAGTCTGCCTCGCCTAATTCCACCCTTTGGACCAAATCTAGCTGCTTAACAACTGCACAGAATTCCTCACTCAAGAGAAGGAAGGAAAGATAAAGTCGCTGCTCTAGAAATGATATGACCTTCTCATTCTCAGTACAGTTAGTTCAGTTTCAGGTGCCAGAAAAAAAAAAAGGTAGAAAGGACAGATAAGGTAGAGCGAGAGCATAAGCATGTCTGCACGTGTGAGTATCAGTCATGACACAAGCACGAAGGGGTGAAAAGCAAAGCCCCGCTGGTAAGACGTAATGGCTTGAATAGAGTATTCCACCAGAGTCACTGACTTCAGGCCGAAACTGTGACTTCGTATCTACTTATTCCATATTAGTAAGTGTTATATAGTATTTCATTTTCAGAGCACATTTGAAAATTGCTTGGGAAATCCATCTCTTGTATCCCAGCCCTACTGCTGACCCAGGGAAACCACAGTGCAAAATCTTCTCTACAGCTAACTAAACTTAACATTTTCACAAAGGACAGAACATGGTTAACTTTTCCATTTCAACTGTGGGTGTCACTGGTCAAAAAAGGCATTGTTATTCATTAGAATGACAAGTAAAATGTAAATACTTACATATTTCCTGCATACTCTTTTGAAGGCTTTGAAGAAACCGTAACATTTTTCTCCAAGTAGAAAAAGGAAAAATAAAAACTTAGCAGTTGATAAAGAGCTGTCAACTAATTTTTAAAGGAAAACAGTTTTAAACACTTTTTGCAACAAAACATATTTAATAAAAATGACTTCATAAACAATATTAATATTTTCTTACTGAAACTTTTATCACTCTCCATCCTGAAGTATCTTGACTGTACGACAAAATTTTTTCTGAAACTTCATCCGCAATTTTCTTGTAGTCCATTTATCTGTAAAGATTTAAAAGTAATTGCTGGAATATGATAAAAGCATTTCTTAAAGAGCAAAAACCACAGAGCTCATTCCTGGGTTCTTTCTGCAGGCTTTAGTATAAGTCAACTGAGTATTTCTAGCAAGTTCACTTTTTAATCATCATGCTCGATTTCAGAAAAAGATAGGCATTATTTTAACAAAATTCCCTAACTGACTTCCAGTACGGGATACTGAGAAGTAGCTGTTGGTCTGGGTTTGAGAACAAATTACAGCATCTAGTGAGACACATTGTTTACTCCATATTAAATTCGTCATTACTCCACACATTAAAACTTCCCGTCCTTATACAGTTTATCCCCTGAGGTTCTGATTCTGCCGTGATTTGCCAAAGTCATTAGACTCATAGCCAAAGCGAGAGGCCCGGCTCACAGCAACCGTGCAGCAGCGATGTTGCAGCAGCCACCCTCCACCCAGCCCTCCCCAGCGCTGACACCTCCAACCTGCTGGAGCTCCCTACCTCCCCACCCTCTCTTCACCCAACACATACCGCGATCATACTGAAAAAGGGAAGATTTTGACGAGATATTAGGACGAAATTTTTCACTCTGAGGGCGGTGAGCCCCTGGCACAGGTTGCCCCGAGGAGCTGTGGCTGCCCCATCCCTGGAGGTGTTCAAGGCCAGGTTGGACGGGGCTTGGAGCAACCTGGGCTGGTGGGAGGTGGCCCTGCCCAGGACTGGGTGGTTGGAATGCGATGGTCTTTGAGGTCCCTTCCAACCCAAACCATTCTGCTATTCTACGATCTCTCAGGGAGCTCTTTCTCATAAGAGCATCAACTGTGGTTCTCAGCCCAATACCGCCGAACGCTTCTGGACCAGTCTCTCCCACAAACTTAACTTCACAGCTACACCTTTATGGGTCTGTCCCGCGCAACGGGCTGCACAGACTCTTCCAGAGCCCCCTCGGTAGGATTTGGCCCCGAATGAGGGCTGCCCGCCGAGCGCTGGGGCACAGCGCACCGCGCACCCTCAGCCGGGCACGAATGCGGCGAGGTGCCGGGCTGGCCGGGCCCCTCAGCACACTGAGAGGAGCGCCGACCGGGGGAGCTGAAGGCCTCCCAGCGGGACCCTCACCCCCACCGAAGCGGCCCTGAGGCGCGGCGCCCAC